TGCGTAGCAAAAGCCGAAAGCCTTCACGCGTGCGCCAATCGAATGCTGAGATATACAAATGTTATATTCATATTCTAGTGCCATAGTCTATCTATGATAAGCAGAATAAATTAACTAGCTCTGAAATTCATTGTAAATAATAATTTACAGATAGCAACATGGAAGCAAAGATAATTTTCCTCTACAAAGACGACAATCTCCAAATAAATAATGAAATCACTCATTCTTAATCTAATGCAACCTTTTTCTTTAAATTGCTTTCTAATCAAACGTGAAGTGTATTCTGCTAGAAAGATACAAAGAGAATTATCCCGAACCCATTGAAGTTCTTTGTACAAGCGAAATTCAAGCAATCCGTCAAAACACACTTCGGATGTTTACCATTCTAGTAATATGTATCTCGCACTCTTTTCAAGAATATTTTACGACGTCCATAATAATACTAGCGAATAAAGTCAACAGCGGAAAGATCGCTATTCAAACAGTTTTCCTGAGTTACTTATGTTTTGCACAAAGGACAAATGCGTTAGTGAACCAAAATCCTATTAGTGGATTCTCAAAGAGTGTAATGCACACAACAAATTCGTGAGAGGAGTCATACTGCAAAAATTTCAACATTTTGAGAGAGTAAATCTCGAGAAAGCCAGGTACATGTGGTCTTTCTGCAGCGCTCACAATTTTTTTGAAAATGTTTCTTTTGTGATCGGACATCGCGTTGCTCTGAATCACTCTCTCTTCACTATCGATTTGCGGATCTAGAGCCTCTCTACTCTGTTGGAGCTACTTTTATGAATAAAATAAAATTTCAATCTTCTCCGCTTTCTTTCTTACATATAATGGAAATAAACTATGCATGAAGACTAATGCAGTCTAGCTTTTTTTCGTTATCTATTCCTTGCTTTCGTGTTAACAGCTTGACAAATTTTTACATTAATATTTCGCAATCCGCTCTTTAGGACCTATACCTTGAAAAGTTAAGTTTCAATATAATCTTAGCCATAACGGCTTTCTACTAAACACCAAGCCCTAAGTAGGATTTTGAGTGCCATAGTTTATTGAGAACTAATTAATCAAAATGGAGATAAATTCTAAAAATGGTTTGAAACTGAAG